CCTTTACTGCATTGTTCTCCCTGTAGGCCATAGTAAGCTTAACTTTGAATGACTTCAAAGAAGGAGAGGGAGCTGCCATTTAGGAGGGTGTGTGAGTTGTTGTGATGTACATAGTGTTACAGCTGAATGATTCTGCAGTGATGCAGGTTAGCTAAATTACTAATATTTTAATTTGGAATGAAACGGGGTTAAAGTTGCAAAGGTTTTGCTACACTGGGTTCACTAAGGAGCATGCAAGCCTAACACTTACATCATAACTGCTTATATTGGCTTCATTTCCTATTCATACAATTGTTACATCCTTCTGTTATCCTAGAATGTCATGGATTGGGTCTGTTGTGTGCAGCCCCTGGGTTCTGTATGAGGTTGGGCTGACACAGCTTGTGCATGTTTAAAACTACAAATCCTGGAATAGGAAATTCCCAGAACACTTTTCAACATACACAGACCACCACGGTCCAGAAATGCCGACTGGAGTACCACTCAGTACCGGTTGCAGCTGATAAGTAAAGAAGGAGATGGCATTTTCACTTAATCTGTGCCATTTTAAATTGAGAAACTATGAACATTCCAGAATCCTTGCACAAATCATGTCATTGAAAATCTCAGTGAAGTTTGCCTTTTCTCCCCCAGCATCTCTGAGCCTGAATGGTGCAATAGCTCCGACTCTATCCCACCTTCTGGAGCTGCCCCCAGCCCCATTCCTCTCTCACGTCTCCTGGCATGTCAGGGGGCTGTTTCTGTTTATTTCACATCTTTCAGCTACCACTGCTTGCTCTTTTGAAATCCAACAGCTATTAACACAGGCGTCCTGCTGCTCTCCATCTCTTCTCTCCTTTTCCCTAGCACTGATGTTGGGTTTCTGCCTGTTGCCTGGCTCATAGTTGGCTTGTGACTAGTGATGAGTAAGCCTCAAGTAGTTCAGATATTTATTTCTGTTTGCATTAGCATGTGAACCCTGCATATTAATTGGCAATTAAGGTGGATCCAAACAATGACCTCACAGCCAAGCAGCAGATTATTTGGGGTGAAATTCAGAACATGCTGGCCCCTGCATGTTTGCGGCTTTGAACATATCTCTGAATTCACACACTGTGGGTGGCTGGATATTCCCATCTTCCTGTGAAGCAAGATTTCCAGTGCTGTCTGCTTCTGGCTTATTAGAATATCTCACAAGAACACCTTCTTCTATGCATTATTGTTTCCTCTGCTCCCAAACCTGAAAATAATGAACCATGTGAAAATGAAGATTTTTTTTTCTTGAAACAGTATCTTAAAGTAAATAGGTTTGGATGGTTTTAAAGCTCAGCATAAGTCATTTTTATCCAAACTGACTCAGCAATCCATACTTGTACTCAAGAACTGGTTTCAGATACGTCTGATAGCAGCTGGATTAAAGCATCCATTTCAGCTGCCCAGAATAAATATAGTAGAAGGACACTGTTAGTCTGATCCGGAATGAGGGATTTTTATGGTATTTAGGTTTTACTGGCCTGAGATCAACAGAGATTTAAAAAAAGATTCTGTGCTTATCATATTTACTTGCATATCACCTGCACTTTTGCCCCCAGAATCAGCCTTCCACAAGTGGGGTATATATCTTAAGCTGGGAAACTAATTTTTCTTCCCAGAATAGAAACATAGATATGCTGTATGATGGCCACTGCTTCTTTTTCCTATTCTTCCCTCCAGTTGCTGCATGGAGGGAGGAACAGAGTCCAGCAGGAGCAGATCCCAGTGCAGTGACATGGTTGTTACCCCACTTTGATTTGTGCTCCACCCAAAGTGTAAAACCACCTACCCAGAAGCAGCAGTAGCATTTCTATTCAGGTGGTGCTGATAGAGTCAACCAACTTCATGGCTTATTATAATTTATCTGATTCCTTCTGATTGCTCTTCACTCCACAGGTGTTAACAACCCTCCCTCCTTTTGAATGGCTTTGATGGTCCACTAATCAAGCTATCCTTTTTTCAACAATCTTGCTGTTAGCTATTGCTGGTCTCTCAGCTCCTGTTTCATAGCTCTGAAGACTTTTTTTAGCACTTTTCAAAATCCTAGATCCTCCCATGTGGCCCAGTCTTCAGCAGCAGCTACAGTTTCAGCTTTTGGCTGAGCAGCCAAGAGCTTCAGGCAGTTCAGCTGTTCAGACCGTAGTTTTTTGCCTGAGTAGGAAAGGGAAGGGTGAGTGAGCTCAAGATGAGGTCACCGCTATGATCTCCCTGAGGTTAC